ATAACTAACCCTTACATCTATTGTAGACCACCATGATCATATAACTCTTTACATCTTGTAAAATATCATCTATACTTTAAAGGGAGCCACAGTGTTCGTTAACCTGGGGGGGCCCAAGAAAGTTCATCAGGAATTTTCTGGTATGGTTTACCCTTGGCAGTGATGTAGAAAGAGGGTCTGGGAAGGGACAATATGGTCATTCGGATCTTGTAAAATACATCTTGTAAAATATCATTTTAAAGTGAGCCACAGTGGCTAGTTAACCTGGAGTTCCCAAGAAAGTTCATTGGGAATTTTCTGGCATGGTTTACCCTTGTCAGTGATGTAGGGCAGATGGTCTGACAAGTGACAATGTACAGTTGTTTGAATGATACAAAAAAAGTTTAGTGTACGTTGTGTGCCTGTCTTCATTAACTCAGTTGGAGCAGAACAATAAGACAATTCTTTCCATTTCTATACATTAAAGTGGTTATAAATCTATACCAAACAGAATAATATCTAGACAGTATAATCAGTCTTTCATCATACTTATAGTTGAATACTGAACAGAAATGCACCACTTTTGGACTGACTTTCTTTGCAAAAGATTTAAAATCCTTCAATTGAATATGAGCGACATTAAGCTTGCCCATTCACTAATTAAGTTACATGTACGAAACAGATGAACCAAGTTTAAATCTTTTAACTTTACATTTGTATTTTACTTTGGCTAGCATAATATTAATAATAACTTCATAATATCCAATATATCACACAGTCCTATAATAACTCTATAATATTCAATATATCACACAGTCCTATAATAACTATACTATTCAATATATCACACAGTCCTATAATCACAATCATATTCAATATGTCAAACTGTCCTTTAATAAATTTATATTATTCAATATACGATACATGTATCACATACTATTCAATATATTTACGATCTATTTACCCCCAAGGCCAAACAACTTCATATATATTTATGAAGAAAACATGTGTTCTACCATACAGTATATACATCTGTACAGTCAATTGATGGAAATAATTTCATTTCTACCAATATTCTGCAGCATAATGAATAGAATTGCTAATCTTGCATTTACATATAGCTAGATGAGATTATAATTTGACCCTATAATCAATAAATGAATTCAAATCAATATATTTTTCTTGTCCGTTTATTTATTTTTAAATTTAAGTGAGCTGCAATGATTAATATTTAACTAAATATGTCCTATAGAAAGCAATTCCATTTGTTATAAATGGCAGTAAATAACTAATGAATATTTTAATCTATTCAAATGGCTTTCATTGAATTCCAATATTCAAATATATGTTTGAGCGGGACCTATTTTACGGTTACACTTTTATAACCAAAATATAACAGAATTAACATATTTACATTTGTATATTTGCACCTGTGTCACCTGCACTTGATGTTTCTCTATGTCATTTTCGTACTTTGGGTGGTGCTGCATATGTCAACAATACAAAACTTTTGAAACAATCAAAAGTGGTCGATGATCATAACAGTAGCTAAGTTTCCCCATACAATCATCCCAGATTCACAAGGCAAATAGCATTTTTTCAAAGAGGTTGGAAACCCAGGATATAGAATATTGTCAAGGGTGTACAGTAGTGAAAACTTAAAAATATTGCACGGCTTTATATATACACTTTAAAATATTGTCAAGCATGCATTTGTACATTTTAAAATATTGTCAAGCATGTTGGGAACCCAGGGCTTAAAATATTGTCAAAAGTGTACAGTAGTGAAAACTTAAAAATATTGTCAGACTGTATGTATTCACTTTAAAATATTGTCAAGCATGCATTTGTACACTTTAAAATATTGTCAACTATAATGTATGTGTACACTTTAAAATATTGTCAATTATAATGTATTTGTACACTTTAAAATATTGTCAATTATGTATGTGTACACTTTAAAATATTGTCAAGCATGTAGTTGTACACTTTACAATATTGTCAAGCATGCATTTGTGCACTTTAAAATATTGTCAAGCATGCATTTGTAGTTGTACACCTTAAAATATTGTCAAGCATGTATGTGTACACTTTAAAATATTGTCAAGTTTGTATGTGTACACTTTAAAATACATGTATTATGAAGATACATAATGCACTCAGCAGCATAAACTAATGTGCTGAATGGATTCTTTTTTCTTCTGAGCAGATCATGTGTAAAATTTATATGAAACATGTGTATAGTAGTTGATGTGAATACCTGGTTGTACAGGTACAATACAGATATATATACTTCAACATACAATTACCTGTTCAGGTAAAAAATTATAGTTATTTAGGTGTGAAGTAGGCTATAAATTATACAGGTAAATATATCTATCACATTATCTTTCATACCTGTATTTCAACATTTAATTAGCAGTATTCTTACTTACAGTATCAGTGTATGCAGACCATGCTCATGTATTAATAAAATTACAGATTTGTTACTGAAGTTCGTAAATTGTATTTTTTGGTGCACTTTTTAATAAAGGTTTATAATCTGTTAATAAATTTTGTATGTATTTGTTAATAAATATTGTTTGTACATGTATTTGTTAATAAATTTTGTATGTATTTGTTAATAGAGTTTGTAGAGTCTGTGTATTTGATGATAATACATGTATCTGTGTACATTTGTAAATAAAGTTTGTGTGCATAATTGTGTGTATATAAAAGTTTGTGTAATAATAAAGTGTATGTGAAATAATAAAGTTTGTCTGTACATGTATTAATTATTTGAGTCTGTGTATTTGATGATAACATTTGTATAGATTGTGTGCAATAATACTGAATTTGTGTAAAAATAAAGTTAGTGTGTAACAAGTTTATGTGCATTTGGTGGTGAAATATGTGTATTTGTCTTAATAAACCATGTGTATTTTTCTTAATAAATCATGTGTATTTTCCTTAATAAAATTATGTATAATTTTCTGAATAAAATTATGTCTGTTTTTCTTTATAAGCTACAAGTACATTTTTTTTTTAAAAAGTAGATGTACATGTATGTGTATATTTTGTTATAAAGTCTGTGTGTAATTGTTAAAGGGACAATAACACTCTTGCTGGCTTGACAGCTCCAGAAAATAAAAAATAGCCTAATTCTAAGTGCTAGATGTGTTAGTGTCCTACCTGTTGTGTAAATTATCCATTAAATCCTATTTTACTTGTCCAGAGGGTTCAAAAATATTTTTAAATCCAAGTAACATTTGAAAAGCTTTACGTCAGGCTTTTCAAATCATTTAGTTGAATTTTTCCAATTTTTTAAATTAGGTGTGTTAAGATGAAATTTGTATCATCAATTAATTGGAATATTGTATAATAGTACAATCTGTTGACCAGAATAAAGATTGGAACATATACTATTCAAAAAAAGTAGGGGATATTTGATTTTGGGGGCATAATACTAAAATATGCAAATGACTACGAAAAAAGTCACTATAGAACCTAACAGAAGAAACATTTCCAGTCACATGTGACGCCCAAACGCACCAATAGCTACCGCATGGAATGCATGTGATGCTTGGGATCATCATGGGGGTCCAACCCAAGATTTGCACGACTCTGACTTTGAATGTTACAGTCATTGTGGCATTGAATTCCAGGGTGGAAACATCAGTTTAATTGTTTTAGTGACCAGAAAACAAATTTTGATATGCGTCGGCTTACCCAAAATGAAAGGTTACGTGCCCTTGGCATGCTACAGATCGGCACAACACAGGCGGTTGTGGCGCGGACGATGAATGTTTCTCAGTCTGTCATAAGCAGGCTATGGTCCAGATACCGTGATACACAATCTGTACAGGACAGACCACGCTCAGGTTGACCAAGGGCGACAACTCAAGCCCAGGATCGATTTATCCGTACCTTGGCCTTGAGAAATCGTGTCATCACAGCAAATCAGATCAGCGCTCGTCTTCAAACAGACACTGGTGTGAGAGTGAGTGGCCAGACGATTCGGAATCGACTGCATAGGGGTCACCTTCGCGCCCGACGTCCTCGCGTGATCCCTTGTTTGAGAGATCATCACATTCAGGCAAGACGTCGTTGGTGTAGGGATCGTCAACAGTGGGATAATCGACGCTGGAGCAATGTGATGTTTTCAGATGAGTCAAGGTTCACTGTTGATTTTTTGGACAGACGTAGGAGGGTGTGGCGTCGTCGAAACGAGCGCTTCCAAGACGTTAACGTCATCAGACATGATCGAATTGGGGGTGGTTCTGTTATGGTGTGGGGAGGCATCACTGTTGCTGGAAGAACGGCTTTACATGTTGTTGCAGGGCGTGTTACAGGCCAGTACTACCGGGACAACATCTTGGCAGTCCATGTTGTGCCGTTCGCACGACGTCATGGCCGCCGTTTCATCTTCCAGGATGACAACGCAAGATGTCACAGGGCCAGGATCGTTACAGGTTACCTCCAACAACAGAACATCACCACATTACCTTGGCCAGCACTGAGTCCCGACCTCTTCCCCATCGAGCATGTCTGGGACATGCTTGGACAGAGGTTACGTCAACGTCAACAACGTCCTGCCAATGTCCAAGAACTTGCTGCTGCGTTGCAACAGGAATGGGACAATCTGGACCAAAATGACCTTAGACGTCTCATTAGGAGTATGCCACGTCGGATCAATGCTTGTTTGGCAAACAGAGGAGGATTTCCCCATTACTGACTTGGTTGTGATGCTGTGGTAACTTTGCTGTTTGACCCCGGGTATCATTTTACCCTTATAATGGTCAGTCTGTGCCTTACTTAGTCTAACGATCATTTGGAATAAATCGATGAATGTGAACTTCATTTCATTTTGTCATTTGTTTCTTCGTCAGTTTCATTAGGTGACTTTAATAACACTTAAAAATCAAATATCCCCTACTTTTTTTGAATAGTATATTATTCAGTTACAACATGAGTGGTATTCAGCCTTTAATAAAAGTTTGTGTATTTTTTTTATGTATAGATATATATAAAGTCGTACTTACATTTTGACGCCAGGTGGGGGATCCCAGACACATTCACCCGTAGTCAGGTTGGCGTACATGTGTTCCTGGGTCTGGGGTTCTATAATCTCAACCCACTCCCACCTGAAATAAACAAATAATAAAATCATAAATGACAACATTTTAATCATGGAGAGAGAGAGAGAGAAAGAGAGAGACAGACAGACTAATTTCGGGACTAATATATGGTTTAATTTTATTTCAATAATTCGCTTGCGCATAGGGGTCTTTAGATGTGGGAGGAAACCAGAGGATCCAGGGAAAACTCACGAGGTTGGACAGGTGACAAAACTCCTTGTCACGTACAACCAGGGAATTGAAACCACGCCAGTTGACTCAATGACAAACCTTATGATACAGTGTGCACATGCTAACCATTCGGCCATTCCCCCCCCCCCTACCCTGCCCCCAACATGTAAATCAGGCCTGGATATTGTGATTTTAGTTTTACTTGAGAAACTGTCAGGCAGTAATGATCTAGTTCTTGACATTTTTAACTTTGTGCAGGACCTGTATTAAAAACATCACTTAAACAGATGGAAAGATAGGTTGCCAGGCAATGAAATATAAGCCCACAGTAGCTACATGTACATGTAAGTCATCCAAGCAGTCCAGAAGGGTTGTCACATGTTTTTTCTTTTGTTGTAAATGAAACCATTTACAAGACACTAACTAGAGCATCCATAAGATTTTTCAAAGTGATCAGGTAGACGACAACATGTACCATAACTCTGGCAGTAATTATCTGAAATCAATAGGCTTCTTTGTCTATTGACCTTGAACATTGTATATAAATTTAAAGTCAATCGGGTATTAACTTTAATGTGAAAGGACGGACTGACAGAGAGATTGGGGTGACAAAAATATAAAAATATGTAACGAATGATGCAGTGTCAAGAACTCTGAAGACAAAAACAGCATGGTTTTTTTTTATATACATGTACTTCATCTCAGCAAACCACATCCACATGTCTAAACTTGGTTGGTGTGACGTTAACACTGTTCTTCTGGCTTGATAATCACGACTTTATATGAGGCTGGATATTCTAAGCTTAGAATAACTAGGAGGGTAGGAATATTACACCAATGGTCCTAAATATTTTGTGGGGGATAATAGGATCTGTTCACAAACTTTCACACATGCAATACAAAGGAATGAGTTTAACACCACCTCAACACAATACCTTGGTCAGTCTGAGACTAACACAGGCTATGGTAATTTTCATTTCAATGTTACCTGTGTAATGCTAAAGGGGTAACAATTGGAAGGTTTTCTCTGCCCGCACTAAGATTCCAAGCTGGTCTACTACTCATTAGTGCTGGGTATTGCCACTGCAACCACGATACATTGTGTGTAATGCTTCTCAGGTGCTATGATACAATTCATATCAGGATTCATAACCAAGTCAATATTTACCAAGAAAATAACAGGATAAATGATTAATTGATATTTTTAGCCCTGTTGATATCGTAGAAATAAAACTGTTTTATATCACGATATTGATGTGGATCAAAATAAGGACCAAAACAAATTAAGATTGTCGGCAGACCAATATCAGGCCACTTCCGCTGTCCTGCAGGCGTCGAAAAGTGTTTGGGTGTAATATGACACATGTTGGGGTACCTACACTATACATGTATGGATAATGTGTGACGTGGATTTTAAGAGTGACAGGTTACTGAAGCGACAAAAAAAATCAAAGAAATGAATCTTAAATAAGCCACTGTTTATGCGAATCGTGAAAAGCTGAATTGTGATACATTGATTCAGCTGTATATCGTGTCAGTATTACCATTCAACAACTGCGACCCCACCACCTATACAGGTAATATGAGTGGTGGACACATTTACACACATTTTTAGTAGCAATTTAATCTTATAATGTTCAATGTACAATCAATCAGCCGTTGAATGCATTCTTTATATATCTGATTTCAACTTATGATTACATCGAGTTGTATTACATAGTCAGACCGATCAATGTGCAATTATATTCAAGTGCCATTTAACTGGCAACTTGAGTGGATTTGCTAATACATGTATACTATTACATGTTGCATATGACAGGCAGATCCGTGGGAGGGAACTAGTGGGGGGGCCAGAAATATAAGCGCTCTTTTTTTATCTACACTTGTAACAACTGACAGTATTCTTAAAAATTAATCGTGATGAGTACCTTCTGTCTCATCGTCAATATGAAATCCAGTGTATTAATTGAACTTGATGTCACTGTGCCTCAGTGATAACAGCAATGGCATATACTAACAAGTGTCTGGATAGTCTCTGGATTTTCCAGCCTTGTTTCCCCTTTTCAGTGGTGAAGGATGGACTACTGGTAGGGTGACCCACCATAAATAAATATCTCCATATATCTCGACAATTACGCCACAATATTTATATATATGCCAAGCCTCAAATCAGTTTCACACAATTATAGTCACTAAATAAACGATCATGTTGTACTTAATAAGCTATGACCATTAATCATGTATAAATAATAGACTGAAAACTGGTTCCAAGAGTCGTCCATAACATCCAGACACTTTTGAGTAAAAGATAGGTTATGTGCCCTTGTTTTGAAATTAGTCTCGCTTAACCAGTCTATCGACCATTCTACGTCTGATTGACAGGTCGGGATAATCAAGACTACTTTTTTACGAAACATAACAGAAAGCTAGAACAAGAAATTGAATTTAGAAATAAGCACGTTAGGTAGCTCAACAATCGTTTTAAGAAGCTTGTAAAAGTAAAATGAAACTACTGCTAGTATCATGTTCCTGTCTAACCCGAGTGATTCAGAGATATTATTTGTACTAAACCAAAAGATGCCACTCTTAACGGTACAGTTAATGATAAAGCGATTTAAAAAATGAAACGAACGTAATTTCTAAATCTGCTGTAATAATCAAGAAGCTTAATTTTACTGCTATTCAAAATCGTCAACAATAATTTTTTTACGGCTGTAATAGTTGATAGATTTGTAGAGAATTGCACGTGCCATGGCTATTTATAGTATCATACTGTCAGAAAGTTGGTCTCGGCACGGCGAATGTGCACGCTTCAGTGGTAGTCTCGAACTATCAGCGGTGGACTGTATTTCTGTGAGTACATGGGTCACCCTACTACTGGCAAGGACCAGAACCTAGTCGGAAAGATCTCTGTAGCACCATTGTCAGGTTCAAATTCAACTACACTGTGTACATGTACATGTTTTCTTTAGCATAATTGGTGCCGATAATTAAAACTGAACGATTTTGTGAATGTTACCGCTTTTCTCCAATGATCAATATCCTATTTTAAAAATCTGTCAAAAAGAAGGACCAATCTGTGAGTTTTTTTGTTATAGAAAAGGGGTTAATCTGCTTGGTTCAACCTTCCAATGTACATTTCTTTTATCTTTGGCTGGCGTACAATCTTTGTCATGAAACTCAGGTTTTAAGATTGGGTCTACTTCTGTTTTTAAAATAACGAGTTACATTAAATACACAACTTAAATACTCGGACACAGGCGATCCCTTGACAAATTGTCAAGGTTTTTATAATTACTACTCAACTTTATTATTAGAAACTAACACTGTAGACAAACTGTTCTACTTTCATTTTATTTCCACAGATGCTCTGGCTTCTTCCAACTACTAAAGACCCCTACATACAAGCAATTTATTGAAACAAAATTGAACCATGACCATTGCCCCCCCCCCCCAAATTTATTTTCGGGCAAAGAAAAATTTGACGACCTTTTTTTTCTATTAACGTTTCGAGAAAAAATATAACTAACTTATTTCTATGAGATCCACACTGCCCGAAAAGTATTTTCTTGTCTTTTTCTTGTCCACTGCATGCCCGAAAATATGCCCGAAGCTCTCTTATGATAGGTATGCCCGAAAAAACGGTATTGATTTCGGGCAATTTTCTCTTAATGCCCCCCCTGAATTACTTTGAGCTCCTACGCCTATGACCATGACCTCAATTGATGTCAAGTGGATGTTAAACTCTCTCTCTCTCTCTCATATTATACTTTATAGACTTGAGGTCAATTATTGAACCTTGACTGTGCGAACAATTTTACAGAGAATTTTAAGTTAAGACAATTATAGGTAAACAAAACTTCTGGAAATATGATTATGGGATTATAGCTTGACTGGTTTCATGACCCAACATTTAGATAAAGGTTTTTGTCATCCATGACTGCTCTGGTGCCTGTCATTTTCCGTGATTTCCCTGGACTCTTTCTATAACCGTTTATTACATGTTTGAATAATAACTGACGTTTGTTCCATTTATCGTATTCACAAAGAACTTTTCTATTAGTGACAAAAGACACCCTACGACTTTAATTTTATGTCGCATTTGACAAAATTTGATGAAAATTAAAAAGGCATTAATTATATATAGCCTTATTATAGGGGCTGTCACCGCACCAAAGATGTTATAATGGCACAAGACAAGCAGTAGTTTCGCGGCCCATAACAATCAATGGTAGAATAAATGAATGAATGAATGAAATGGTGTTAAAAGGTCCTACTGTTCTACTCCGAACTGGGCTAACAAAGACAGGAAATTTTTCCTGGACAGTGGCAGTAGATGTACATTAGATGAAGAAGCCTATTGATTTTATCACTAAGCAAAATCTTATTGAGATTCTAGACACTAAAGTTCATATGAAGAGCAGACCTGTAACTAGCGGGGGATGGGGGCAGCTGCCCCGTTTGGACGCCGAACTGTGCACTTTCAATTAGACGCAATACGAAGCCAACGACCAACATGCCCATATCAGTTTTATGGGCGGCCCATAAAGCTGAGTGACATTGGTTGGGCTGCCCCCCTTGCCTTCCTGCTAGCTACGGGCCTTAAGAGAACTTATCACAATGTGAAGTTCTAAAGCTAAGTGCTATTTATATGATTGACTTGAAATTTGTACACAGTGTTCAATGTATATGAGATGAAGAAGCCTATTGATTTTATCACTTAGCAAAATGTTCTTGAGACAATAAAATTAGTATTAACTGAGCTTATCATACTGTGAAGTTCGAGAGTCAAGTACTATATTTATATAATAGTGTAAATATGTATTTCTTCTCTT